CAGTTGCTAGCTGAGAACTGTAAGGTCTTTCCAAATGTCGTTTAATTTAATTCTTACTAGAACCCTAGTAAGAAGGTAGGTATTATTATGCCAATTGTACAGGTTAGAAAGTGCAGTTCAGACAGGTTAAGTGACTTGCCCAAGGACATACACCTGGCAAGGGGTAGAGCCAGGAGTAGAACAGGAGGTCATCTCCAAAGCTCATGCTCTTCACCACTACCTGGCAGGAATGTGTAGTGATGGTGAAGAAGCCACGGAATGGACATTAACACTGACAGGAGGAATCCACCTGATGGTTCACTCGGGAAAGGAAACCAGGTGGGAAGAAAGCAAGCCACCTACCAATGGAACCCTGGACCTTCCCAATGTTGGCACAGAGGGTTCTTTTCTCACCAAAGATCCCCTTCAAGCAGTTTCATAGCAAACGTTGTATGGTAGACACAGCATATTCTTGCTCCTGAATTCACCAAGGTCAAGAGCTATACCAGGCACCAATCATATAAGAAATTATACCCTATGAATTTTGGACACTGCATTAGCTTGCTAGGGCTGCCATAACAAAGCACAACAAACTGGGTGGCTTAACAACAGAAATTTACTGTCTCACAGTTCTGAAGGCTAGAAGTTCAAAATGGAGATGTTGGCAGGGTTGGTTCTTCCTTGTGAGGGCTGTGAGAAAAGAATCTGTTCCAGGCCTCTCTGCTTGGCTTGTAGATGACCGTTTCCATGTTCACATTGTATTCTCTGTATATGTGTCTGTCTCCAAATTTCCCCATTTTATAAGGACACCAAGCATAGTGGATTAGGGCCCACCCTAATGACCTCATGTTAACCGGATTACCTCTGTAAAGACCCTCTCTATCAAAGGTCAAATTCTGAGGTACTTGGGGTTAAGATTTCAACATAAGAATGGGGAGGGGGCACAATTTAATTCATAACAGACACTACTGTGAAGTTTTGGTAGAAAGGACCCCTGATACTATTCTCTTCTCCAAATTGGCTTGTAAAAAAGGCTCATGTTAGATTAATGATTCACTTTGAGCAACATTATGACTCCTTAAAATGAATATTTAAATGACACTCAACAATGGAGGCTACTTCTAGCGGGAGGATTCAAATGAACCCTGAATTTGTTAATAGTTCAAGATTCAGGCAAAAACCCCATGCTCCAGAAACCTCTGCTAAGATCTACTCCAACCTGATGATGACCATCCCAGGCCAAATGGGAATGATGGGGTGGAGGCGACTGGGCATCAAATTTCACTTTAAAGCAACAAAACACTTTCTAATAAGTAGAATTATTCATCATGAGCTATTGCATTTCTAAGCATGGCAACCAAAGCAGAAACCATAAAATAAAAAGATTGATTTGACTATATTAAAAAAAAAAACCAAAATTTATAAAATGGGGACTGTTTTTGCTAAATATATGACAAAGGCAAAAAGTTATGATCTGTAATGCTCATTCATTCAATAATTATTTACTCAGCACCTACTATTTATCAGGTCTGTTTCTAGGTGTGGCAGAGGTGAACCAGACCAAGTCTCAGCCCTCGCAGACTCAACAAATCAACTAGACCTACCCCAACACTTCAAGAGAAAAACAAATAGAAGACATAAACAAAACCAGAAATGCAAATGGTAAATAAAGATATAAAAGAATTTGGTAATAAAAAATGCAAATTACAACAAGATTTTCTCATCTCCCAAATTGGCAGAACTTTCCGATTTTGTGGTGTTGGTATGGATACGGATACCACCCAGGATATGGACCTGCTCAGTACTTCTCTGGGAGGGGGTTTCAACCAGCTTCTTAATAGTAAAACCCTAACTGCCCCCAAGTTTAGCCTGAGCACTTTTAAAATGTTAAAATGCATATTCCTGGGCTCCACTGTAGAGATTCTGAATCCAGGGATCAGAAATGGGATCAGAGAAACTGTATCCTTTGACTATCACAGGGTATTCTAATGAAAGTTACCCTCAGGCCATACTTGGGGACAGAGTGCTCTAGAACATGGTTGGGGCTTTGCAAATGGCCCAGCAATGGGACTATGCTGGGCCTGACAACCAAATGCAGAATGTCTTATTCAATTAGATTTGATTATTTGACAGAAATATTTCAAAGATAAGACAAAAAAGTATCAAGTCATACTTGCTACTGGTGGGCCTTGAGACTGGGTCACACACAGTTCAGCTTTGACAATATTTATTCTCTTTGGCACAGCAATTCAGCTTTTTAAAAAATCTGCCCTAAGGACGTAATCAAGTTTTACTTAAAACACTGGTAGGATTACAGAAATTATTTAAGAGTTCTGAATAAATAAGAAGAGGACGAAGCTACTCCTAATAACTTTTCCTTAAAACGCTGGCTATGGGGAGAGAACATGAAAGGAAAGACCACTCCCATTTGGTGTCCTACATATTCAGACTTTGTTTTGCAAATGTTTTCTGGTTACCACGGCGACTTCTGGATTTCTCTGTGTAAATGGGAAATTGGGAACTTCATTTTTTTAAAAAAATGGTTAGTATGTTCTTTTTATCCTGGTAAGCTCATTCTGTGCTGACAAATTACATTCTGACAGCTAGGCTGTAATCTAAAACATGCTTTTTTAAAGACTCTGAATAATAAAGTATTTCCAGGGATTGACAGTAATTCTTCATTTATATTTTTATATATTTGCTTTCAATGAATTTAAGAGATAAACTGAAGTGCTAAATACTTGCCATACTTTTAAAATAATTCAGAAATGTATCCTCACTTGAAAGATTTGACATATGTCAATTTGATTATCGTACTCGTGAATTGTGGTATAAGGAAAGAACATAAGCCCTGAATCAGTCAGACTTGGCTCTGCCATCTACTAGTTGTGTGACCTTGGACAAGTAGTCTAACTCTTTGAGCCTCAGTTTCCTTCTATAAAATAAGAATCAGAAATAATATCTACATATATAAAGCGTCTACAACAATGCCAAGTCTATCCAGTAGGTTCTTGATATAACACGGTAGCTATTATGACCAAAGAAAAAATAAAGCACAGAAACATCCAAAACCTATTAGATTTGCTTTAAAAGAAACCAGGCTTCACCCAGGAATAAAGAAAGAAATTAAATAACCCACAACCAGTATTATTAGACATGGACTTCTTCAGGATTCAGCTGTTTATGGTACTATTATTAGATACTCATCAGTCAGTAATGGGAAAAGACTGTTGGAATTTTGTAAGGTGGTAGAACATGACACATAAGCTTGCTCAAAGGAAGTTTAAGGTCCTCAAAACTTTACAAACAATAGTTTGAAAAGATGCAGTATAGCTAAAGTTAATGCATAACTTTGAAATAGCAAATGGCCAAGCTTTTAAGCTGATAGAAATGATGGTGAACCAGGGCAAGGAGCCCCCCATAACCCATTCAAGATGAGGGAATGTAATTGTGAGGACAAGGCCTAGACTTTTCTGGGGATGAGTCCCCTCTGGAGGAAGGATAGCACTGAGGCAGGAACAGGGTTCTCCACTTGTTTTCCAATAGCATTTGTGGACCTACCTTTTATCTTTTTCATATTCCAGTGGTGGGCAGGACCCATCTATATTCTGTATCTCTTGGTTTGCTGTTTATTAAACTGTATATGAAGGAGGAGGATTTTTAGTGGGGGCTGCTAATCCTTCATCATTATACTCCCTGATTCTTAATCTGCCTTTATTCCTTAATCTTTAATTATTGTGACAAATAAGAGCATCATGGATGACCACACTGGCAAAATGTTGAAGCAAAACACAAATGCAAAACATTGTAAAGCAAAACAAGATATTCTGAAATTGAAAACTATGTAAACCTTTCTTTAAATGAAAATAATAATTTAAGGGTCCTCAAATCCATATTATATACGGGACATATACTATAGCTAATGTGGCACATAAGCTCAACCTATGTAAGTTAGTCTATTGAAAAGTATTGATGCAGAACTAGTAAAAAACAACAACAAAACTAAAGGCCCAACAAAATAACAGATGTCAACATCATGCTCTCACTATCTGAACTTGGTTTCAATTCATCTATCTTATACGTAAGGTGGTGCATTCCAGAGGGTGGAAAAGGGGCAGAAAAACGGTCACTTGATGGAGACTTTCTCAGATTACTAGCCCTCCCAGTTTACTATCCTCACCTACTATTTGTTATCAGAGACAAAATAAAATACAGGACTCTGGGAGCATGGTTTAAAAAGGCAAGTGGCAGTGATAACAGTGTGCTGTTCCTTTGGGGAACTGTTCCCACACCACCACCACCACCACTACTCCATTCCTTTCACTGCAGCGTCGTTGGGTGAGAACTTTGTGACCCTCCATCTCCAATCAGTAACTGGTTGAGGTTAGGGCCCCTGACCAAGCTGGGTCAATCCTGGCCCTTGCCTAGGGTTCCCAGGTAAAATACCAGCCCCCAGTTAGGTTTGAATGTCAGATTAACAACAAATAGTTTTTAGTATAAGTATATCCCAAATATTGCACTGAGACATAATTATACTACACACCATGGCATTGTCCCCAGATCTGCCAACAGTAGCTGCAAATGCACAGAGCACTTCGTATGTTGCCTGCGTTGTTCTAAATGCTTTCTAAATATTAATTCACTAAATATGTGAAAATATATGGATATGGAAACATATGCCAATATATGGATTTAAGTTAGGAAGAATGAACTGCATATTTTTAAATTTCAAAAATTATGCAAAAATTCCTATAATTAAGATGTTTGAGGAGTTGTCAATTGATTAGCTGCAAACCAATTTGTATAAAATTGAAAACTATAAAAATTAAAGGAATCTAGATTTCAGTCCCTGCTCATTAACTAGCTAGATGACCTTGGGAAAGTCTCCTCGATTCTCTGGATCTAGGTTTTCTTCTCTGTAACATGAAGCGGGGAGGAGATTATTTTTTAGGTCGTTGCTGCCCTAAAAATTCTATTATATCTTACAATATGGAAAAACAGCTTGCAGAGAAGTTTATTACCTCTGCAATCATTCTGTTGGTGTCTCCTAAGAAAAGCAGATTCAGAGCTTCTTCCTCGGTGGTTGCCTGATGAAGAGACAGGTTTTTCAGGTGAATGTTCTGATCGGGGTCCTCTAATATTGTCACTTTCCTAGGGAAATGGGAAGCAACAAAAACAAGGGACTTTGAGAATGAAAAGAACTTGAAGTCTTTCTTACATGTTTATTTTTCAAAATCTGTACAGTATGACGTCTTGAACTTATAAAATCAAATAATACACAAAACACCAGACAGTACTGGATTAGCATCAAACACGGACATTCCCTTGACAGCCCTATCCAATAGCTTTGTGGCTGAAAGGTATATTACAAGCTCCTGCTTAAAGCCATCTGTCTTTGTAATCATCAGATCACTAAATCATCTTAAAACGCATACTCTTACTGAATTAAAAATGCAAATATATAACCTTCTACTTTTATATCAGGAAACTTGGCCATACCGTTTTTTTCTGTGTCATAATTCAGTTTCTTACATGTGTGATGCACTAATTCTTCTCCTTCTGCTTTTTCCCTTTTGTTCAATTTCATATCACTTTCAATTTATACGACATTTCAAACTGGTTAGCTCATCAATTTAAACATGATGAAAATCGAGGCATCTGTCATCCCTCGAGGAGTTATTCCCTTGTCTAGTTTTCAGTACCAAGGTGAGTAAAAAAATTCTCAAGTCTATAATAAAGTTTTAGCTTGTCATTATTATTTTTATGACCATCAAATGTGTTTCTTGATCCTTTTTCTTTTACAAAATACCTTTCCTTCCCATTACATCCTTAAAATCAGAGCCTTCGGTCTGGAATTATGTTCACCTATTACATCTGCCTTAATGGGCATACTGGTGCCAACACCATTTCCTCCCAGGTGAGTCCTAACCCTGTTTCCAGAGTTGGCTTGTCAATACTCTCCTTAAAGCCCTTTTAGGACTTTCTGTAACTGAACACGATTTGGCCAAACTCCTCACACTCTGCTTCAAAGGCCTACAGATTCCAGGGATAAAGTTATTAGAGAGAACACCCTTCTGCCTCTTGAGTTTTGCCTTCCTGACTTTCTTAAGAATTGTGAAGGAAAGGGAATCTTATAATTCACGAGTATTGCCAAAGAGTATCTCCAGGTGTCTGCACTTGTTTAAAACATTTGGCACTAATGAGAGTAAGTAAAGGTTGGCATCATCTAGCACTGCTTCTTCTTTCAAACTGTAACTAGCAAATGGACATGGGTCACTTGCCTATTTATAAAAACACATTTAGAATATATCAAAAGTGAAGACTTTGCAAATACCATAATTTTTCATCTTTCCCTTTTGTAAGGAGGTTATCTGGACTTTCATATGTAATTTGTGGGCACTTAAAATACTAATTGCGGGAAGAAAATGTAGCTCTACCAGCACATCTGTGACCAATATGTCACTAATAATGTACTCCGTTGCCAAGTTTTGGACTCTTTTTGTCTCTTCAACAATACTAAGATGGAAAAGGATCTCTTCCTTTAATGAAACCAAGTGTATTTTATTTATTTTTAAACAAGACTCATAAGTGAGCTTATTAAAAATGCTTAAGAGTTCAAAAATGCTTGGAAAATATGAAGGCATTTTTAATGGAAATGGATAAATTGTGTTTTATTTTTAGGAACCCCCTTTATTCCTTAAACTTTATTTCTACCCTGATCCTTCTGAAGTGCTCGAGAATGCGTGACTATATTCAATCCCTAGGGACATAGAAGTCGGAATTCTTCCTAAATCCACAGATTCTGGGGCTTACAGGTGAAAGAAGTTAGGTAATGTTGGAAGGAAGATAAAAGCAAGAAATACGTGATGAGACAGTACATTAAAAGTGGGAAAAGGAGAGAGTTCTGTCGTTTTCACTGTGAAGATAAAAACAAATTCTCCACGTCTGAGGCAAAGTCACCTGTGAAAAAGTCACCAATGTCACTTGGTCGTAAGACCAAGTCAGATACTATATATCCTGTGCAAGTTCAGAAAAGAGAGGAGTCGGGTAGCAGGAAACGACTGAGAGAGCAGGATGCTCACACTCATTGGGCACCAAAACTACGCCAGGCACCTGCGTCGTTTCGTTTTGTCCACTTGCTCTTCCCTGGCAGCACACAGGAACAACCTGCGGAACCCACAAAACCAAACGCTGGCGCCTGGCCCCATCCTAAGAGATTCTGATTTGATTGTTCTGGGGTGTGGTCTGGGTATCAGAATTTGTTTCAGCTCCAGGCGGTTCTAGTGTGCAGCCAAGGTTGAGGGCCACTGACTTCATCTTTAATAACCTTCCAGGTAGACATAAGGGGAGGAGGTTTCTGGTTTCTTTATCTTTGCTTTCTACCCAGCTCCACCCCATGCCCAAAGGGGAAAGCTACTCATCACCTTGGTTGTAGCTGAAGTCACTCTTGAGCCACATCTACTAATAGGCAAGGTCACTGTGAATTTTAAAAAGCCTGTCCTTCATGGGGAGTTTCTTTTCTACCTCCTTGCCCATGCAGCTGATGGGTAAACTAAGCCACCCATTAACCACAATAACTAAAGCTCAACTGGGGATTATAAATCTACCTGTACATCCATAGGGTTTACGTCATTATTGAACCAAAAACTCTAAGTGATGGTAAGGAGACTTCATATGTATATCTCTCACCATTATTTCACTGAAATAAAAAATGGAGAAAACAAGCAAGTATGGAATTCTAAGAGTGTTTATTATTAGACAACCTAAATGAGCCACTGATTTAGCATTATAGTTACATAGAATAATTAGAAGCATAAGGTAGAAAGTGGGAAATGTCATCGGTGGCATTTGGCTAAGCTGCTGTTTCCCTCTAAATCCTTCAGAGCTTTTGATCTCCAGTGTGGCTACTTCAGAACTATTATACTTCTACATTTCCTTCCAGGTGCTTGTCCACCTTTGTCACTATGATCAAAATACGATTTGCACATGCCCTCGGTTTTTCTGTGCAGAACTTCCAGCCGTCTTTTGTAACCCATCACTAGGCATTTTTCTGACTCTTTTCTGATATTATGTTTCCCCCACTATTTTCTGATTTCTTGCCCATGGAAGTTTTGCAAAGTAAACAAAAAGGCAGGTTGGTGTCCAAATTAGTTTGGCTTCTTTCATAACTCTCTTCCTGCTTAGGGCTCCTCTGTGGGCACCCTATAAAAAGTTCCATCCCTGGCATCCTTTTGGAATCTTCCGTGGTGCAACTGTCTCTCTCCAATCAGGATCTCCCTTGCCTGTTCTCCTCAGATTCTTTCCTGGTTTCTGCCCAATCTCTTGGGCATGAGGCTTTGGACTTCCCCTTATTGTCCTGCCTGCTTTCATTGAAAATTCCTTTTGCACTATGCTTTGCAGTCAATGTGTCAGCCCCACCCACTCGCATGCCTTTGCTTGGAGAAGCCCAGCCTGAGCCATACCCTGGGTGCTACCCCTTGCCCAGTGGCTGATCTGGAGATGAGAATGTTTTAAACTCCGCTGTTGGTGAAACCCTTTTTCAAACTTGGAGGAAAAGTTTCTCATCAAGTTGCTTCCTTCTCTGGCACTTTCTTTCCCTCTCTCTCTCTCACAAATCAACAGCTATTTCCTGAATCCTTAGTCCGCCACTCAATTCGGACTATAATTTTCATGGGCTTGAAAGAGGGCTTTATTAGAGTTTCTTAAATAAACATCCTAATTCCAAGATGGAAACCCCCCAAACTATTTATTTGATTCTTTTTGAAAGGGCCTGTGAATAGTTTTCCCTACAAAATGTTTCTAAAATGTTTAGATTTCAAGCAAAAAGTCACTGATAGCCTTAACTTGGACACCTAAATGGAAAAGTTCTGCTAAGTATACTCGGCCTGCTTAATGATGGGGAAGAAGCAAGCTTTGTGTTTTCTCTGTAAACAGAGAATCTTTTCCATTTGGCTAAGTAGTTGGAATTTGTAAGCTCTTTCTAACTGACTGGAAGACATATAAAAAGCAATAGCCAAGCTCTTGTTCTCAATAATGGAAGCCATCAATGAAAGAACCATCCCCAACCCACACCCTACCTCCCCAGTATTCCAACACCACCAACTTCCTGAACAGGAACTTTCTAGGAGTTACTACAATGAATTTGATTTCTCATTTTCATGTTATAGACAAGTGTTGCTATGGTTATTTCTATTTTTTTTCTACTCGTAGGTGCCCCCATGTGATTATGCAGGCCATGCACTGCACATTGGCACCATGTTAAAGGGGGGTGCAATTCACAGCATGAGTTTGCATATTTATTATGACAAATGTGTATCAGAGAGCAGTAAAGTGTCTTCTAACAAAACCATCATATTACAACAATTTTCCAACAGATGGCAGGGGTGCCTTTTAATAATTCATGCGAAGGTGCGATACAGACCGGAGGTAGCCCTGTCTAGTTACCTTGACAGAGCAATACCAATAGCAGGCAGGCCTCATGAAAACAGGAGGGAGTCAACCAGACTCTTCTAAATAACTGGATATGTTTCCCATGTTGTAAACACAGTCCCACTATTCATTTCAATAAAGAGAATATTCTCTGGTTCAGTGGTTTGCAACTACTTTTTTTTTTCCCCACCGCAACACACATTCTCAGAGCTCTCTATGGTGAAGATTTAGAGAGAAGGGAAGATGTAAATTTTTAGGAAAAGTATATAAGGGGAACCCTCCTTCCTGGATGTAAACAATTTCAAAGGTAAATTTTCTTTAGATTGATTAAAAATCTAAAAGATTTCCTCTGTTATAAAATATAAATAATTGAAACATCACTTGAGAAAGTTTTATGAACTTGCAATACATTTTTGTGTTGGTCTTAACCTAGACAGAATGGGCTAAAGGTAATGGATATTTTTTCTAATTAATCACTATTGAGATATTCTGAAAACTCTAGCAGCTTAAAAAATATATCTTTTCTTTAGAGTTTTATCTAACATCATATCTTTTTACTGATAATGAAGAATATAGCCAATCACATGACATTTTAGAAACTAAGTTATTTAATTTAACCTACTAAAAACACCAGATTCTCTAGCAAATTTTTAAGGAAGAAATTATACCAATTCTCTACAATCTCTTTCAGAGGATAGAAGCACTTTCTAACTCATTCCATG